AGAAGTAGAGTCTGAATCTTACCGCATCTCCAAGTGGTGACTGTAGTTGAATGGGATCTTCTAGCAACGGGATCTGGGTCAGCTTAAACTTCCTTCTGCTAACAAAGGAAAACAAAGACATATTAATGAAACATGAAGACTTCATATCAAGTGAGAAAGAGTCATTAAAATTCAAAGAGTGCAAAGAGCAAGTGCAGTTTCAACCTCACCCTCACTTGGGTTTCAGATGGAAATTCCAAAGTGTAACAAAAGCAGTTTCTTACTTACAGCTTTCACCAATGTTCGTCGCCGGCCATAGCTGAGCAAGGACTCTTCTTCTTCTGTTGGTCGCCCTTGGTCCTCCTGCGTCGTCCTTCGTCGCAGTCCATGAAAATATAAAACTGACAGAAGGTTAGTAAAAAATCACAACAAAGAAACAAATCACCAAAAATTCGCGTACACATAATCATGACATAAAAATTAGATGAAAAATAAGTTAGCAAATAAAGACAGTTAGATCAGGAAAGGGTAAAAGAGGGAAAGGGAAGAGGGAAGGGGAAGGTGGTTGGTTAGTTATGTTAGAGTAGGGAGGGGATAGGAGACAGAAAAAGAAACAAAATGGAGTAAATCAAAAAAGCTTCTCTATAAGGCTTCCTGGTCGCGGAATTGGTTCCTTGCACTTTTCTTCTGATAGGCCACGTCATCTACATCCTATCAATTGGAAATCAGTAGGTCATGACCTGACACGGTCATGAAAGGGTGCAAGAAGTAGAGTCTGAATCTTACCGCATCTTCCAGTGGTGACTGCAGTTGAATGGGATCTTCTAGCTTCGGGATCCTGGTCAGTCTAAACGTCCTTCTGCTAACAAAGCAAAACCAAGACATGTTAATGAAACATGAAGACTTCATATCAAGTGGGAAAGAGTCATTAAAATTCACAGAGTGCAAAGACCAAGTGCAGCTCCAACTTTACCCTCACTTGGGGTTCTAACGGAAATTCAAAAGTGCAACAAAAGCAGCTTCTTACTTACCACTTTCACCAATGTTGGTCGCCGGACATAGCTGGGCAAGGGACTCCTCTTCTTCTGTTGGACAGCCTCGGTCCTCCCGCGTCGTCCTTCGTCGCAGGCCCTGAAAATATAAAACTGACAGGTTAGTAAGAAATCACAACAATGAAACAAATAATCGAAAATTCGTGTACACATAATCATTACTTGAAAATTAGATGAAAAATAAGTAAGCAAATAAAGAGTCAGCCTAAACTTCCTTCTGCATAATACATGTATACAACATGCTAATTTACTACTCTACGGTAGGCTACTTTACTACTATACAGTATGCTAGTTTTCTACTTTAGAGTATGCTAGTTTTCAACTATACAGTATGCTAGTTTTCTACTTTAGAGTATGCTACTTTTCAACTATACAGTATGCTAGTTTACTACTATACAGTATGCTAGTTTACTACTATACAGTATGCTAGTTTTCTACTTTAGAGTATGCTAGTTTTCAACTATACAGTATGCTAGTTTTCTACTATAAAGTATGCTAGTTTACTACTATACAATATGCTAGTTCATTTCTATACAATATGCTAGTTTGCTACTATACACTATGCATTTTACTACTATACAATATGCTAGTTTACTAATTACTACTATACAGTATGCTAGTGAACCAAAAACCTTATCTAATATAACCTAACAACTCTTTGGAAAATCAAAGGAATTTTACCATAGTTTGGCCCTACAAAGTTCAGATTTAAAATCCTAGAGACCCATTAGAAGTAGAGCAAAAGAAGAGTGACTTTACTGTTTACTATATACCACACAAGGCCACTTCAAACTGTATTATATATTTTTAAATTAAAGTGTTAATGAGATGCCCTGAACAAACATAGTTCTTACTTTATCTACACTTAACCATTAATTTAAAATGACGTATTCTTTTTAAAAAAAGAGCTGACCACTGATACGATTGTTCGTTTAACTTTACCGTTAAACCTACTACCAAATCTGTGTCACTCTTACGATACTTTTCGCATGCATAAACAACAGTTTATAAAAACTTACAAAAATATTTCTCCTCCAGTTGAGTAATTCTTATCTTAAGATCTTCAGATCTTGTGTATATTACAGCAATGGAAAAGGGCCGCCCTCCGTTTTACTGAGAATACGGTTCACCTTACCGGAAGTGTGTACAATTAAATTCGCATATTTTTTGATACTCTGATTAACATCGCAATCAAATCTTAAGTCAATATCTTAACTGATTGGACAATTGTCATGTCTGGTACAATCTCTAGATTTAGCTACGTAGCTTGACCTACATAGCTTTATTTACCTACCTGAAGTAGCTTTATTAAGCTACTAAATCACATTTTTCTTGAATTAGCATTTCTTTTTTGTCTATTATGAATAAAAACAGAATTGTGAAAAATTGCATTAAAATAGCTAAATAAAGCTACGGTAGGAAATTTAAGCTACGTAGCTAAATCTTGTGATTGCACCAGATCTGCTGATTGTAATTCAAAAAAATATTTTCTTTGTTTCAGTGGGATTTACAAGGATTGAAATCAGTCGGTCGCGAGAGGGGGAGGAGGTGGTTATTTACTCAAATTGAACCATAAACCGGCTAAAAATGTCACCTAACAACATGAACAATCTTGAAAAATCTCAATATTAAAACTATTTAATTATTGAATAATCTGATAACTCATTCCTTACTTTAATTATATGTACTAGACCTTGCTCTCATATATAAGTAAATTTCCACTGGCCACTGTTATGATTGCTCGTTTAACTTTACCGTTAAACCCACTTGCAAAACTGAACATTCCTTGTTGCATAAATACAGCATAAATACTCACAAAAAGCATATTTCTCCTCTTTTTGGGTAATTCTACCCTGCAATCTTCAGAATAACTAATAAGTGAAATATGTGGAAGAGGACGGCCAGCCATATCACTGCTGAGATTAATACAGTTCACATGCAGTTCCGGAAGTGCGTAAAAATGTGCTTTTTACCCCGATAAAATTAGATCTTCAGTATTTTAAATTGATGAGTCAATCGTAACTCAACATAATAAAAATTCATATTTTTTTCTTTATCTCGAATATTTTATTTTTAAAATGGAGAGCGAGAGAGTTTTCAATATAGTGATGATTCTGGTTAAATTGAGAGACAGGGCTACATCTGTATATAATTTGGCTGAAATCCTAGGTTTAATCTTAAATATAGATTATGTATAATAACTATTGTTATAACTTTGGATGCTCATAATCACATTAACCTTCAAGACAATTAAAAAAAATTCCCGAAGCAAGTTTTAGAATTCTCTAGGTCTGACCTCTAACTATTTTTCAACAGAACCTAAATTTTCCATTTCAACAGAACCTGAATTGTATGAACAAAGGCACATTCGATAATATCCAGTTAGCATATATAATAGTCTCTGACCATTTTGTTTTTCATTCTTAATTTTGGACTGCAATTTACCAGTACTGCCGCAAGTTTCAGTGTTTTACTGCATAATCAACTAATTACTACTTTAAAAATAAAAGTACACCGCAAAGCAGATGCCTCTTCCTGTTACAGCCATAATAATTACCATGACAACCAGATGATTCATGTGAACACACTGTCAATTACAAAATTGATAGCTTTATACTATGGCCGCGCTTTCCCCGTGCTCTACATGCCTTTTTGATTGGTCTCCTACCCCCCCCCCCTTTCTGCCTTAAATTGAGCTGTCCATAATTTCTGCAGCTTTCTAGTCTAGTAGCCCTAGTCTACTTTTTTCTGAGTATCTAAAACAGTTTTGTGACTTTTACATTTCATCTAGAGCCATGCTTCTTTTTTTTTTACTTATAAAAACTATATACAAAAAAAAAGTTAAAGTCTTTGCTTTCCATGGTCTGGCGTGTGTTCAGATTTTAAATTTACTAACGTTTTCATCTCTCTCTCTCTCTCTCATACAGTCTTCAGGTTATTTTAAAGAATTTCACAGTCTTCAGATTATAAGTTTTTCATCATGTATTATTCAAATTTCAGTTACTAACAATGTAAGCTGTAAGTTTAGGGGGCGAGCCACAAATAACAAATGTAAATTAATTGACATTCCTACCCTTTTTCGAGGAGAGTGTAAATGAATGTCAATGAATCCTCTCCCTTTTTTTTGGGAGGGGGGGCAAAGGGGAATGGGCAAGAGTGTTCCCCCCCTCCTTTTGGTCAGAACAGTAAATCTATCTGTTCGGATATGTAATTCGCTAAGTTGTCCAAGCAAATATCCAGTTCGTCCGAACAATTCCAAAAAAATTTAATCTACTTTCTTTCAACATTACGAGTATATATAATTCGTCGAAGAACATATATACATATATTTTCCGTTCGAACGAAGAACACATTAACTTGTCAGAACAATTGCAAGGTATCTCATTTGTCAGAACAAATATTTAAATCTACCAAGCAGAAGAGAGAGCTCGATATGCTTTTCTGTGAAGTCGATATATCTATGGATTGACCGAATGAAATTAATTTACTATTAATTTAGTATGAAAATGTTCATTGAAAGGCTACCCCCTTCCTGATACAATATAGTCAAATCCCTCATACATTAATAGACCCCCACCCCGAAATAAAATTTGGAGTTTGGAAAATTCTCCTCTTGCGGGGGGGGGGGGGGGGGAGGGGAGGGCTAGTCAAAGATTTTTTTCAGGCAAGTTGTCATTTTTCCCCATCCCAACATACACTTTCAAACTGAATGCTACGTGCCTGACATTTATTTTTTTTCTATATGGAACCTAATAGATTAAGAAATTCCAAATTAAGGTGTTGGATGGTGAATGGGATTCATGGGTTAAAATCCACAAATGTAAAGAAAAAAAAAATAAATTTCGAAAAAAATTTATCATTCATTGCAAGCAATATCCATGATATTCGCGATATCGGTGTTCGAAATACCAAGGGTCCACTGTATATGCTTTGAAAGAAACTACAAATACAATGACAAGAGACAAGATCTGAGGGTTTTTTTTACGCTTTTTATAATATGAAAGCATGTTCATCAAGTTGACTCACTAAAATCAAATGTGCAAAATTAAAAAAAAGAGAGAAAAAAAACTTTAATAAACAAGTAAATAAGTGTTTCTCATAAAAAGACTTTTGACAGGTATCACAAACCATTGCCTAATTTGACACATTTATAACCGTTTTTCTTTTTAAACAATAAAACTGAAGGATGCTTTTAAAAGTCACCTAGAATGCTAAACACTTATAGTCTGGAAGCTATGCTAGTATGTTCTGGTAACTATCATAAAATAAAACTTGCTAGAAACCTGAGGTCATCCGAAATGTGTCGAAATGATAAGAGAGATATACACTGTACATAAAATGCATGTACATTTATATACAATAGCAAATGTATAACACTGTCTGTTGTATTTTGGCTAATATCTACTTTTTCTGATTTACAATACTATACCTGTAATTTATATACATGTACATGTATATAGGTTCCTTAACAACATTTAAAAATAAACAGCTTCATGTAAAATTAAAAAAAAAACCATATTATTGAAAAATAAAAATATACATCAACTAGGGGACCCTTGTACAGATTGATTATCTCTCTTTGTCTATTGATGATCTTCAGGCTTCCATTGACAATAAATTAAAAAAAAAATACTTTAAGTAACTAGATGAAGATTTACACATGTTATTTTCAGCAGATCAGAAGCAGAAACAATGTACATCAGAATTTTTTTATGTTACTAGGAAAACATATTGTGCTAAATAAAATATATATGTATTATAAAAAGGCATTACTCAAGGAAGAATATTTATGAGAAAGATTTTTCTAGCATTTTTAGATGTAAAAATTTCCATGTTTACAGTATGTGAGAAAAATTCTTTTTTCATGATTATGTCAAACATTGATTTATGGACAATTCTGCCTTGTTATATACCAAAAAAAGAGCTTATAGATTCAGGTACAAAACCACTTTCAGAAAAATATTTTGCTCACATGTATGTACAATTATGTTACCATTTGGCCATTAAAGAATGTGGTTTTCTTTAAAGCATGAAAAGCACTTTAGCTGATTTTGCAGCAAGCGTTTAATAACTAAATTTCCCTTGCAACTTTCATGATTTTGTAAACGAAACATTTTAAACAACCTTGTACATCCTGATTTTCTTTTACATATTTGTTGGTCTTAAGTTGCCTGTGTTTTTATAAAACGGTACAATATACTCCTTTGAAGAAATGAACTTTTATCACTTTTATCAATTTTGTTTCCATGCAAAAACTTGTGAAAGTAAAATGTAAGTTGCACATGAAGAAAAGATGGTTTACAGCATACTTGTACATAAAATACTCCATAAAAGTAAAAATGTCTTAAACGGTCAATAGAGTTTGTCTGTCTACTAACAATAATGTATTTTATACATTTATATCTTTGAGTGGACCATAGCTCTTTCTTCTTTCATTAAACAGAAGTGATCTTCGCTTTGGATTCTTCCCAGTGAAGGTTTTCTAAAAAAAAAATCATAACAGAAAGTTTTATATTTCAGCTGCAATTAAAAAATTCTCAGCAGATATTAAAATTCTAAAAATTAAATCTTAAAGTCTAGCATAAATGAAATCATCAGAAATTGTATTTGTACTGCTTTCAATGGAACTACTTCCCTTTTAACAATTTTGTCTATCTCTGCTTTTTTTTCTCAGGATTTCATTCATCTACCTATCAAAATAAATAAAATTTTAAAAAAAAACAACAAAAAACTGAAAAATTACTGGCACATGTGGACTGTTCTCATCAGCGGAGCTGAAATCATGATTTTCATTCTCTCGATCAATTTCAGGGCTGTGGAAGTGTTGATTGGCAAACTTCTTCTGTAGGGCCAGAGCAATCATAGAGGCTGGGTCAGCGGTAGGTTGGGAGGCAATCTTTGGCTTGAGTGGGGTCCCTCCCGGTGACCTTTAAAATAAATGAGAATTACTCTGACTACTTAATGCACTATATACAAAGTTAGACAAATTCAAACCTGGGCCCTCTGAATCACTAGCTTTCTGAACACTGGCAATCTACCTGACCATCACCTCAGTAATTCAATGCCATCAGTATTTTTGCCATTTTCTTTACCATTCTTCTAGCTGGTCAATGATAGCTTCAGAGACCTTATATAGATCTTTATAGGGGTAATACAACATTGCCATTGATAAAGTAAGCAAACAACCATTTGATTTACACACATATATACACATCATGGTTTCCATTCATTTTCCAAAAAGAATTATTTACATTGTACCTTTAGGTATTGATATCATCTCAATCTCAATTACTTATTAATTTTAAAGTAAATTATCAAATCAGGGCTCAAAATTTTTTTTGCTTTCATTGGTCATGGGCTCTAAACTGAATATTTTACAAGAAATTTCTTAAATTCAAATGGAACTTTGTAGCACAAACCTCTCAAGGACTGTGAATGAATATTAATAGAATTATGCATTAAAAATCACTGGCCCCAAGGACACGCACTCTCTAAAAAATACTAGCTCATATCCAAAATTTAATGGCCCAGACTACCAGGCCCTTAATTATTTTGAACCCTGGAAAGATTTTAAAAATGAAAATTTTAAAACGAGTGTTACCTATTGCTGTTATTTCCCCTACTCAACAGTTCTTTGCACCCTGCTCTTTAAAAAATTATTCAGGTATAAAAGAAAATAACCTCGAAGCATTAGATCCACCCCCACCCCCCACCCCCGATTTCGATAAAATACAAAATGCTGTTCCTTACCTCTGGATGGATCTAAGTTTAACTGAGCTCAGTCCCTTTAACACCTCAGACATAGTGGGAACTTTATTTGTGGGAGCTGGGATGACGTCAGGTGTGTTTCTATTCCCCACTCTACCTTCTTCTATTTTCTCCAACCTCTTCAATACCAAAAATAAAAAAAAAACTAAAACAGGATGAAAGAAAGTTTTACTTACTGGTACAATACGTAGATTTTAAGTAATTTTAAAAGATGTCCTCTTTAAGGTCCTAATCTTGTAATATCAATATTTTACATGAGTATTTCAGCAAAAGCTGTTCATTACAATTTTATATACTTTAATTCTGGTTATAACGCAGTATTTGATTGGATAAAAATTTACTTTATATTGTGTAAATTGGGTTGCCTACGTCACAATGACTTGCATCAAAAACATATCGATCCACCTGAAGTTACATTTAAATTTTGTACAATTCAAAGTCATTTTTAAAGGACAATCATCTTTTTTTCTTACACTAAATGAATGAAAATTAAATTAGAAGGAATGAAATTAATAGCTACCCAATTTATACGGTATAAAGTGGGTTGAAACAGTTTACAAAAGCATAAACTGCCCCAACCCACTTTATAACGTATAAATTGGGTAGCTATTAAATTCATTCCTTAAATAATTTAATTCTGGTTATAATGCACCATTTGACTGGATAAAAATTTACTTTACAGGGCTCTAATTGGCGACTAATTTAGTCGCCATGGTGCCTAAAAATTATGATTGGCGCCTAAAATTTTTCTATAAGTCGCCAAATTGGCAACCATTTTAAATTGACTTGGTGTTCGTCAAATTACTGAACTATAAATATTTTCAATTTTTATTTATAGAGCAGAAAAGAAGTTTAAAAAGTTAGCAATGGACATGTCTCTGTATATTGACTAATATCAGTTTTTAAATTGATGCCTAATAGGCGAATAAATTATTTTGATTAGGAGTCAGTTGGCGCCTAAATTTTAGAAGTCACATAGAGGCCTGCTTTATATGGCATAAATTGTGTTGTCTACGTCACAATGACACAAAAACATATCGTTCCACCTGACATAATATTTAAATTTTGTACAATTTGAAGTCAGTCATTGTTTAGGACACTTTTTTATTTTCTTACACTAAATGAATGAAAATTAAATTATAAGGAATGAATTTAATACCAGTAGCTACCCAATTTATACAGTATAAACTGGGTTGGGACAGTTTACGCTTTTTTATAAACTGCTTCGAGATTTATATAGCTAAACTGTCCCAACCCAGTTTATACAGTATAAATTGGGTTATTAAATTCATTCCTTAAATAAATAAATTGTATATATACCACTTTTAGCATCTCATCTGTAGCAGGCTCCTTCTTCACAGGTGTTGATGTGTTCTGTATAGGTAGTGGGGGAGGTGGGGGAGGGGCTGGGGGAACACCTGAGATCTGTGGCGGGGTATGAACTATTGAGTTCAAATTTGAAGGAGGTAATACTGTAGAGGAGAGAAATAGACTGTATTAAAATCATTTACAAAAAGTGGCTTCATTAATTCAATCTTTAAACAAAACATATTCAAAAGAATAAATCTTTGATATTCACTAATCAAATATTTAGTATACATTGCATAAAATTGATGTCTGAATGGCAAAACTTACACTGAGACTTATTAATCTGTTCCTGGTTCACTACTAACATAGCAATCTGTTGCCGGAGAGTGGACAGCTCGTCTTGTAAAGCGTTGATTTTACTGATAGCATTGGGGTCAGAGGTCATGGAGACAGAGGATATCATGGTAGAGTTCATCAGAGGAACATCGTCTGGCCGCACCGTAAACAATTCCTCTGCCTCTTCCTCCCCCTCCCCCTCTCCGTACACACTCTCCAGTTCTGTATCACTGGATCCCTCCTCTCTCTTAGCCCTGTTTACAAAGCAACCAATGAACATTTACACATTTGAATAATCATGACAAATAAATATCTGTAACATTCTAAGGAAAACGAGGTTGCCTTATCAACAATAAAAAAGACATGATGAAAAAAACAGTGTTGTCATTTTGAGGAAGTTAGTCTGTCTGATAAACACCAGGCTTAAACCCCAGAGATGGTAAATTACTTCAACAATAACAAGCCTCAAGGACTTGTGATATACATGTCCATGTAAATTATTTCCTAATGAATATTTTTTTTATGTTCAAACAACAATGGCAAACCAAAACAGCAAAAATTTGAATTTAGTGTGAAATAATGTATTAAACTTTTTACAATGCTGGAATAAGTTTAGTATATCTTCTTTAATCATAATGTTTTCAAGTAATTTGCATACAATATTCGACTGGCTTTGAAACAAAAAATACTAGTGATTTTTCATAAATTAGAATGGATTTATGGACACCATATCAAGAGCTTGACTATAAATCAAGGATTAAACTACAAACAATACTGTCAACTGAAGCTTTGATTTTGTTCTGACTTGCAGCCAATAAAACCTCTGAACCGATTCCTAATTGCAGCATTATAATGAAGAGAATATGAAAAAACCTGAATCTGATTAAATTGTTGCCCAGGTCCTCTTCTATCCAATGTGGATCATCTCCTGAAGTTGCATTTGTACACACTGACAGGAGGGAGGAGTCACTGCTCCAGCTGTCCAATCGCTGCCTTCTCGGGCGGAGCAGATGTTGCTGTAAATTCAAAAAACAGGATCAACAGCTCTATTGTAAATGTTTCACCCTGATACTTTCATATTCTTAATAAATTATTGCTTATTAAAATCAGTGATGTGTTAAAGACATTATTTTCATCAAATCATTCTCTTACGAAATGCTAATGAATTTTAATCTTTTACTAAAATGCAAGTATAAATGTAACATACTGATACTGATACAAGTAATTGATTCTCAGTTTTGTGATTGATTTTCAAGCCCTATTAGATTTAAACCTTTAATATACATGGTATTAAAAATCACCACCATTAAATTAGTGTAAAGTCGTTATCATGTGCACGAATCCAAGCATGGCAGCTAGATTCATCTAGCAAATCGGACAGACATTGTACCATGAAATTTCTATTTCGAACTGGTATTTCTGATTCATCAGTTTACTTTTGCCATTTAAAACATTACCACAGAGAGTCATGCCATCAACTTCTGTTATACCGAGTTTACATTTTACCGCTTTCGACAGCCATGCTTGGATTTGATCGTGATACGCATTTATACATCATCACATAGACGCTTATAAATAAAAACTGTTCTATCAATCAAGCATTTACATGATTATTTCCCATTCTGTATAAATTACCCAAATGTACAAACACCTACATCCGGATGAATATAACGAAATAAAAATTATAATCAATATCTGTTGAAAAAATTCTTCGGACCACACCGATTTATGTGAGTCAGCCAGCAATGCCAAACAAAGCGAATTTCATTTTTGGCCCAATTCTTAGGTACCTAATGTTTTTGTATTTATAAGGTAAAACAATCACCAGAAATTGTAAAATCCACTCTAATTATTCATTTACATTAGTGTTCATTAATCATATTCATCATTATTTCTAATTTTAACTAGAATCACTTTTGATTTGACTTCACATTAATTTTAAGAATTTTTATTCAGAAAACAAAAATTTCAATTGTTTCACAATTTCCTATCATCAGTTTTTAGGGGTGAAACAATATGCCTCCTTCACGATACAATACGTATTGTATAATTTTGTCTCAGTACGGTTATTTTCCATACAATACATTTTGATAGAAGGAAACAAATTCAACACTGTTTTATGTTTTCTTTCATTAAATCTAGTCACTTAATTTATCAGTTATGTGCAAATTGACTAGGAGAAATTGATTTGAATGAATTGACTGTTAAAGATTATTTTATAAACTATCAGTCCGACTGAAAAATGAACCGAACCGAAAATGGAGATTTTGCACCGTGTATCAAACCGAGAAAAAATACCGCAGAGAATCACCCCTTAGACTATCAGTTTTTCCACATTACATTCCTTAATTATAGATAGACAACCTGTTTTGATTTCTGCTTATGTTTTAAATGGAATGATCATTATTATATATAAGATATCAACATTGTTTTAAAGGACTTATCGCATGATTTTGCAAAAATCGTAATTTTATGAAAAATATTATCTACAACCTTGTTTATTAAAATACTGAATACAATAAACGTTGTTGAAAGCATATTTTAAGAGATATTGAGAGTTGAAATTCAAATACGGCAATATGCATATTTCACTTGGATTTCGGCGAAATACTGCTCTGACGTCATAGGAGACAATTCAGTGATAGAGAGATGAGAATATACACACTACTTACGGAGTTATCAACGACAAATGCAGCTTAATTACGAAAAATGCTGAAAAAATAAATTCTTAATGTGCTTTTCAATTACTGTAGAAACATTAACTAGTTCTAAGGTATAAGGCTTATGAGATATTTTCGTTTTTTTATTCCAAACATTTAGAATCTGTAGCTCTGATTACAGCAATATTTTGATTGGGAAATTATTTTTCAAGATCGCCATCCTTTAAAATACATATGAAGACTTGCATAAATTAATATTATGTTTACATCGAAGAACAACAAAGTTATATAATGTTAAATTTGTGAATCAAATATGTAAATACATGTGATAAGATGACAAATCAAATCGTATTTTGATGGCGAGTTTCTTTGTCTTCGCCGCTTCTCCCTCGCTATCGTCGCTGCTACTTTACAATGTTAACAGATTTTTCAGATTTTTTCTTGCTGGCAGTTCTAACATATAAAGTTGGATATTAAATTTCATATCGATAAAATAAGCGATTTGATCGTCCACAATGCAGAAAATTCAGGTTGTATCGCGTATATTTTCGTAAGATTAACGTGAAGAGCTGATCAGCCATTGTCGCCTTTGACGTCACAGGGTCACGTGATCGCTATCTAATAAACTTAGATTTTTAAATCAGGGGTTTTCATTTGAGTCAATAATTGATTAATTACCGCGGTTTATCCGCAGTAAAAACACAAAATTTATAAACTGTGGTCATAGTGAATGTTTTACGCTTTTAACTTTAAATAATTTAGAAACATGCGATAAGTCCTTTAAGTGCAAGTTTTATTGAAGATGATGAATATTATTTTTTTTTTACCTGTATTCTAAGTCTCTTTGGTGGCTTTGATGGGATAATTGTTCCTAAGATCCTCACCAGACTTCTGTGTCGAATGTTAGATCGCCATCTGATCCAGTTATAAATCAGCCGTTGCCTCCTCTGGGTCACGTTAACATCCCATCTATGGCGGAGGGAACTCCTCAAATCTCTCTGAGCATCTCTGCCTCGTACATATAAGAACTGTGCATAATTGGCCTTTGAAATAAATATATATGAGTAAAACATCTTTTTTCATATCAGTCACTGATAAGAAACATAAAGTATGAGCACTTTGTCTTAAAAAAAAATCAAGAAAAACAATATCCACAAAGGAATCTTGCTTGCAAACGAGCATTATTATTCAAGATACAATTGAACTCACTATCTCGAACATGGCAAAACTTCCAGATATATCCATTAGGTGTTTGAGATATCAAAGTTCAACTCAAACAAAAAAAAGTTAGGACCAACAAACTCACTTCCAGACATACCTGGTGTAGTTATCATATTTTATGTTCAAGATACCAGTCAACTGTGAGTGTCCTTCATATTGACATTTAGTCATTTACATCATTCTAATAATAATAATACAACATTTACCAAATCATCTGCATCAACTCCAACATAATCCAGTACAATTCTAAGAATTGTTACAGCATCTTCAAATACATCCATCTCTGGACAGATTTTCTGAAATAGGAAAATTACTTAATAATACTTCTCCAACCTGTCATACTGTAATTATTAACATAATGCCCCCCCCCCCCTACACACTTTTTAAATTAGGTACATTGAGAACTAAGATGTCAAAAAATAAAGTATTACTATCAGATCACATGTCCCTCATGTTACTCAGATCAGGGACCTACATGTGTGTATATACTAGTATAGTATATAGGTCCCTGCTCAGATTTTTGCTCCTAGTTTTACCATACAATTGTGAATTGTCCTTTGTTCATTATTCTATGGGTAAAAATTCTTGTACCTACCAAAAACAGGGAAATACTTTGGAGGGTAAAAATTTTAATACAGTGAGGAAAGAGAAAGAGTAAAGGTAAAATGTGAGAGAGAGAGAGAGAGAGAGAGAGAGAGAGAGAGTAGATAGAAAGGGGGGATTGAGTCTGGTTTATCTATAAAAATGGTAATAAAGCCCTATGGGCCTACAGCTATACACTACAGTTTTTCGACCCCTACCCCCTCCCCTCCATTATATGGGAGGATCTGAAAACAATCATTTTTTAAAATAAATAAATTTATCTCAAATAAATCTATTATGTTTAAAATCAAGTTCAACATATTAAAGAAATAAATCATAAGTATTACCGTCGATCTTCTCTCTTATTTTGTAAACACCATGCCCGATACCGCACTCAATTTAAAAGTTGCTTCCGGTGTCAGACCTAACCAATGGGATTACGGTATTTCCCTGATTAACCAATCATCAACGTTTTGATTACTTTGTGTACGACTTTGAAAGCTATTTTGTCTCGGTGAGTAAATGTGTGATATTCAGCCAATTAACCATTTGATCTTTAATTGATCTAGTAAAACAGGAAAATCTTTCAATGATACAATCTCCTTCAACAGTAGTTTTTATGTGTTTCATGTGATTCATTATTGAACTTTCGTGGAAAGGGGGGGGGGGGGGTCCAAAATAAATAAAAGCCCAACCTCAGTGTCTGACTGTACCACGTAGCGTCAGGGTATATACATGACATTACTATGTACAATATATTCTAACCGATCAAAGACAGGCCTTACTGTCTGCTAGATCACCATGATCACAAGCGAGTGTGACACCAACCAACCCCCAACCCCCCCACCTCTTCCACCGGTTTGTAAAACCGACATCTTACATACTCTAAATAAACATTGGATAGGCCTAAATTCTTTTTTATTTCCTATAGCTGGATTACGTTTATTTGTTAACAGCTTCGTGATTTTTTCTCCAGATTTGAGTTGACACTAGCAGAATGGCATCTGCAGACACAGTTCTTGCAATGAAAGGGATGGCTGCTGATCCTTTGAAGAGAAAACTTCTCTTGAAGGTAAAGTCCTCCTATACTCTGACCAAAGAAAAGATGTTAGTTCTAGTTGTGTTGTCAATTTTATAAGGAACACACTGTTATTCAAATGAAATGTAGTAATTGCTCAACCAAAGACATACATAAATGAATCGGAAAACATAATTTCTAAAATTCAGCAAAGTTTTAGAATTAATACAGTATGGTATCATTTGTAAATCAATCAACCTGGCCAGCTGTCATCAATGTTTGTTTTGAAGCAGACTAATATAAACATCACTAAAATAGCTAACGATGTAAGCTATTACCTATACATCGGTACATCAGAAAATATTTTCAAATCCTGGATATATTTTTTTTAGGAGAATATGATATATTTAAAAATTAAAAAAGAACCTCTGATTGGAATAAATCATATTTGGATGCTGCTGGGCTATCTGTTTGATTTCTCCATTTATAGAAACAGGTGCATGTACATATTGTCATAATACATGTACTAATTACCACATATATTTAAGGAGCTACAAAAAATACTAATAAGGGAAAGGCTTAGCTGTTTAATTTCTTATTAACTCTGATACAGTTTACCTCCACATTTTGCATTATTTTAAATTATAAGTCAGCTTCAGATTTATCATAATATTACAACTATCATGATTATTGAGCACACCAGTTTGGGTGTTCTATGAATCTGAAATATTTTTTTTCTGAGAAAGAGTCAATTTCAATGTAGCAATACTAATTTCATCAATATATCAAAAAAGCTTATCATATACCAGTACATACATGGCCCATAGAGATAGGGCTAAAATAAAATGTGCCTGCATGCTGCCCGATTACATTCACTTTTAAGAATAAACTATTGTTTAGGTACAATATTATGTGTTTATAACAGATCAGAACTCCATGACTTTTGTTTTGTAGGATGCAACATGTATGGGTGGACTTATTATGGTGCTTTCCAATCCAGATTCAAAAATTGTCGCTTCAGCACTAGAGGTATAAAAATTAGCCTTTAACAAAAATCTCCTTGAAAAAGAATAGCAGTATGACTTACTAGGGTTGAGAGAAAGTTTAACATATGCATAATATCATAGATGTGCCAATGAAACTAATTTATGATATATCAGTTTTCATAATTTTAACATCAGAAACAAAATAATATTGAAAGGTAAATTTTCTGTAATTTTCAGACATTAATTTTGATGGCAGATACAAATGACCATAAGAAACTTCTGCGAGATTTTATAGGAATGACCACACAACTGGAGACCATCATCAATAGGTAAAATTACTGAAACATTAAATTTTATGTCTTCAACACAAAGAGAAATTAGAAAACTTTAACAAAAACACTCATTATACTTCGAATTTTACTTTTTTTATGTTCAACAATTAAGAATACTACAGTTATTCATATAAAAAAATGTTCCCTAATATCCCAAAAAATGAATGTTTTTAAGACATTTTTCCTGAATTTGGTTGCAATTTTTCAGGGATAGTCCCACATCAGCATTAAAAAAAGTCTTGATTAACATTTCCTTGCAATGTATATCTGTATAATACTGTTGCACCCCTAACAGGAATATGCTTTCTTACAAGGGGATGCTTTGCAGTGCCCTTGTTCACCAGTGTATCCAAATATTATAAATCTTATCATGAATTTGTAAATGATATTGGCAGTAAGAAGAGTGACACAAGGGTCCATAATCTAGCTGAGAAGTTGTATGTGATGATAACAGAAACCTGTGAATTACAGACTCCACTGAAAGATACCGGTAACTCCAGACCAACCTCCAGGTGCAATACCTAACCAATATTTGAATTTTTTTCTTTCCACAAACTAGATGTATTTAGACTATGTGTGTTTGTGTATGGCTTAGACAGATACATTAAAACTCAAGTAAAAAGAACTCACTTGTATTAAAGAAAATCTCGGTTATAAGGAAGTTTTTATTAATACATGTATGAATCCCCCTGGAGACTGCACCGTGTTTCTTATATGAAAATAAAAAATCTCAAGTCATCTTTTAAAAAAAATGTTTGTCTGCACTCTCCCAACTGACTAAACATGCTAAAAACAGCCAAACAAAACTTTTTTTTTAACCTCAAGGAAACTTTTTTTCATTCCAAATTTTTCTCATCCCATTAATTACTATCTTAACTTCATATTCATAAGTGTTTTTGAATAAAAGAAAATTTCCCCCCACCTACCTACCTATTTTCTTTATCCTGAGTTGGGAGAGGGCAAGCAAACAGCCAAACAAAACTTTTTTTTTAACCTCAAGGAAACTTTTTTTCATTCCAAATTTTTCTCATCCCATTAATTACTATCTTAACTTCATATTCATAAGTGTTTTTGAATAAAAGAAAATTTCCCCCCACCTACCTACCTATTTTCTTTATCCTGAGTTGGGAGAGGGCAAGCAAACTTTTTTTTAAAGAGACGGCTTTACAAGGATGCAAAGTTTGAAGTCCCACTGGCCAGTGACCTCCTTATAGCTGAGGTTTACTGTATTCATCATTAGTGATGTTTTGTGCATACAAATATTAAAATTTAAAAAATATGTGTGTTGTATTAATTTGTACAAGACATAAAAATTTACATTACATGTATATTACAACAGAAATTCTCCTTTAATGTAAGCATTTCATTTGATGAACTGTTACTTTTACAGAAAAAGTAGCTCGAGCAAGAACAAAAGCTTGCAAGGCAGCAAGACGAGACATATTACACTGCAAATCAGAGGTCTCCTAGATAAGGTATGTACCGGATGTACATTCTAAACATTCAATCTTGCATTAGAAGTTCTGTATATTTTTTTTTCTATGGGAGAATACTGTATATGTACATTTTTCAAAGGGGCCATTATTCTGTGAAATCACAATTTATGGTCAATTTGTGAATAGAAAATTATGTGGATTTCTTGGATTGCCATTATGTCTTTAATGTACTTAAAGTTTGCCATGACCAATTTCTACAGAAAATTTGTGACCAAGCACATAGCATAAATTAATCCCGTGCAGAAAAAAAGTATGTCAACAGTGTTATTAAATTATTTCTTGAACTCGGTAAATTGATTTCTTTTTTTAGACTGACAGGGATGTTTTAATGAGACTCATCTTACAAGTTAAGGGTGTAGTTAGTGTGACATTTGACATGAACAAGAAGCGATGTTTTCTGCGAGCCAAACCAGATGTTAAACCCGAGGTATATTTGAGTCACTAAGACTAAATGAATAAGAAACTATCCAAATTAATTTGTGTTTCCACTGATATTATTTCTCAATTTTCATAATACAAGTACATGTAGTAATACAATTTTGAAAAGTAATGCAAGGCAATATCGTTCATAAACATTTTACTACAAAACTCTTTCAGCCAATTGTACAAGCTGTTGCAAAATCCATGACGATGACAGCCCAACAGGTTGTGAAAGATGAATATGGAGCTGAGGTTGGTTGCTTTCTGAAATCTTTAATGATGTGAAATGAGTGACAATTTTATTAAAACACACAAAAAATGTTTACTTTCTGTGCAAATTATTTTGTTTATAAATACACCTCCTAAATAAAACATGTACATTTATATTTCATTCATTTTTTTCACAGGCATCATTGTATCATTCACAGCATACCTTTTTTTTAATAAAAAAAAAAAAGATCTGTATTGGTTTTCACTTTAGGTTTTGGTATCCTTTGGTGCCAACCCCCAGGATCTGGACAAAGAGAACACCTCCCTCCCAGATTACCTCCCAGAGGACCCCGACAGCCCCAAGGCTGATAGTCATTCTCTGGCCAGGAACAAAAAGGACGAGAAAAAATCCAGCTGGCTCAGCTCAGCAGCTAACTTCCTAACAAACTCTTTCTACTGGTAGTCTCTTAGCAGTTTGTTTGCTGCCAATTAGTATTTCATATTACTTTATTTTACTGAGTTTTACTTGTGGAAGTCTGGTGTTATGAACTGAATTCTGTGAGCTGTATAAATGACTATGCATATGAGCAATGAATGAATTGACAGATGTGGTTTTACAGTTTATTGTTTGCAATAAAAAAAATGATATTCATTTACTTTTCTGTTTCTTAAAGTCAGGAAAATGTTGCATGTATATTTATTAAATTGAATCTTCAAAAGTGTGTCATATATAAATACACGTATACTTATACACTGTACATTATGGATCATCATATCATAAAATGCATTTTATTACATCCATTCAATGTCAAATGTTAAAAAATAAAATTCCAAGTTAAAATGTATAAAATTACAAATTTATTAATTCCTGTCATAGGAACTTTGTATGACAGATTTTGCAGCTTAAGAATGTAAGTGATGGGTAGGTGTATCTTTTAAGCTTGGCATTTTTCAGTGGATGTATTGAAATGGAGTATTCAGCTCAACTAGCAGGAGGCATTTCTGCTAAAGCATCAGTTCCAAACAAGCTCTCAAAATGTTTCACATACATCTCACAATGTTCCCCTACAACAATAAAGAAGGATTTTAATCTTCATAATTTATACTTGCATGTACTCTGTACAAAAGGGGAGTAATTTGCAATCAGTTTTGCTATATTTGGGCTTTCAAAATTCATGAAACATTGGATCATTTATAGGCTTCTGGCTAAGAGGTCATTATACTGAAGACAAGTTATATGTGCACAAATTGGTATGGAATTCAAAACAAGAAATAAGCACAATTATATTCTTGTTAATTCAAACTCCTATTACAGTAACTTCCTTACAAAGTAAAATTGTACCGCAAATGTTTACTTACCTGACTGAAATTTTGGGTTCCCTCGAATTTTCATATTTCTTTGTTCAAAAAATTTAAACACGGTATAAAATAACATGGGGTCATCTGTATTCATTGCAGCCTCTAAAAACTTTCTTGATGACACAGAATCCACAATGTTCACACTTCTAATAAATCTACAAATAAGAGTGTAAGTTATAAAATCAATTCTTATCACCTTTCTTTTGGCTGCAAGATATGTTTACATGTAGAGGGGTATCAAATCTTTATACTGTATTAAAAAAAAATTCTTCAACTGTCTAATATGCATGAAGATATCCATGAAGATACAGTGTAAATTTTCAAATTTATCTTTATCATTGTCCTTCAGACCAAGGAAAGACGCATTACGGCCTTTAATTTTTTAAGAGAAAAAGAAAAACAAAATGTAGCTCAGTAAAAAATAACTTGCATATTGACAATTAAGTTACTGTTAAGATTTTTGGTCTCTTGTTAATTATCGGCCTTAGATATCTGAACATCCAAAATAATTTTCAAGCTTTGCATTTTATGAACAGTGTCCAAACGAATACATCATGTTTGATTCTTAATACCGGTTGTGACTGGTCGACAGGGCATACTCACTCCTCCATGACACATGATCCTACCTCTGATGTTTTGATGCTCGCACGACACACAATTTGTATTGTTGTTATGAATTTCTGAGCTTGAATACTGTTTGTTATCTTCATATTTCATCTATTTATTTATATTTATTTTATTTCCTTTATAAAAAAAAAATTGTTTAAAATTTACCTCAAAGCTGGTAAAAGTTGTTGTTTTGACAAGAGGACCTCAATTATTTCTTCATTTGCAGTGGACAACCTCTGTCAAAATGTACAAAGAAGTATATAAAATCAAAGTGAGTTTAAACACACCTAAGAAATACCTCGATACAACAAGTGTACTGTGAAATCATTTTAATCCATGGGGGTCAATTTTTGTGGGCAATCAACATTTTACTGGTTTGTTGGAACATAATTTCATGGGAAACCCATTTACACAGAAGATTCAACAGACTGATATGTTGACAACTTAATGATTTGTGGGGATGTACATTCACTAGTAAGGATGACCCACGACATCCACAAACATTGGTCTCCCACAAATAATAATGATTTCAAAGTATTATGTTATCAACAAAGTTAAACATGTATTGTACAACAAAAACAGTTTGGTTCAGATCCATGTATTTTTGAATTTCCACTCTCACTCCCGACAAGAAAAATACCCTACTTTGCTTTTATGTACATTTACCTTTAGCATGTCCAGTGCCAGTTGATGAGCAGGAGGGTATACACTCTCCAGTGACAACATGAGACAGGCCTACAATGGAAATACATGTATAAAACACACAGGTGTCTACAAAATTGATCAAAATATTTCAAATTCAAAATTGTTTGATGGTCTTTAAAATTTGTGTCCACCATGAATTTACAATGTATATCTTTTTCTCTCAGCATTCTGGTGACTTTTTCTTTCAAATGTTACAAATGTTTAGACATTGTTCAATAAATATATTATAGAAATGTAGGCACTATAGCATTCGGACACTGTAAAACTTTGCCAAGTCTATCACTGCAAAAATTTTTTATCAAATAGAAAATGATAATTTTCAGTTGAAATTCTCACCAATGGTTTAGAGTCTTGTAGTACATGGTACTGCAGGAACTGATGAAGCTGGTAGAAGCAGTTATTGTGAACCAGAATGTTGATGATCAGTTCATATAGGTAATGCTGAAAACAGACATTAAATAGGTTAAATGTTACTAATCTATAGCTAATACAGAAGAAATTAAGCATGACCAGAATTTGTATTAATACCTGTACAGTAATATTGTTCTCACTCAATGATCGGATGTATTCAATAAGAACAGCTACCATAAATTTATACTTCATGTTCTAAAAACAAAACAAAACAACATTATTACAACAAACTAATAATAAACATCATTACAGTACATGTTGCATTCATTTGCTGTTAAATACCATTTGATCTCTGATCTTTAATTATAACTAACTATGATTTTAACTATGACAGGGATTGGTGTTTGGCGTGAAGTTGTAATTTTCTAAATAATTAAATTTTTATATTCAATTATACCAGTAATTATGAGCAAAGAAGAATGAGCAAAGTTAACAAAACTCCTAATCAACAATTTGGGGAATAAAATGGGAAAAAGCATGGCATCATAATTTTTTTTACCTTATTGTCCTCAAACACGGAGAAGACATGAGTGTACATATCTGACTGGTCAATCACCACCTTCATTGCTGGGTCTAGTCTGGCTGGCTGTTCACCTGCCTGTATCACAAAAAATATCATAGGTCTGGCTTAAAATACTTCTGTATTGTGACAGGTTGGTGACAATCAATAACTTTCTTCTGAGAAACTTTTCAAGTTCGAACAAAAAAGATCAAAAGTTAATTCTGCTTAAAAAATGACATTCACAAAGATAGTCATAAAATCAATTCAGAATGTTGATTACTAAAATCCCAAATAACTTTCACTGATAAATTAATATGCACATGTAAATATATTTTTTTTTCAATGTATGCTCTCAATTGCAATATCACTTTACTAGAACAACATCAGACATTTGAATTTTTTTTATGACAAACCAATTCCTTACCAGTACATGAATCTCTGTTTCAAGATAACCCTGGTACACCTTATTCAGCATGTCCAGCACCTTGGATATGGTGGACAGGGAGGCCTGACTCTCTGGGGTCAGCATGCTGCGACAGACATTTAGTATGACCCGCTTACTATCAGTCCGGGCCAGCAGGAACTTAACCAGGCGATACTAAGAAAATTTATCAACATACATTTCAACCCAATTCCAAAAATTGATAGACTACCTACAGTATGATAGATTTTAACAAGATACTATGTCATATTTCCATGTACCTTATCTGGAATCATTGTTACAATAGGCTCCAACTTCAGTTCCACATACCATAAACAGCCTGAAATCATTTTTTTTTTGAAAGACTGAAAATTCACTTATTTTTGAAAAAATCAGTTTGATTCAGTATGATATACATGTAAAAGAATCATGCAAACATTAATGGTACAAATACACAAAATACAAGAAACAGATCCTTAAAATGAAGGTACGAAAGCAGGTGATCTTATTTACATAGACAAATCATTTTAAACCATGCATAAATCTTTCAAAGCTGAAACTATAAATGTAATTGAACTTACCCAACTTGGCATCAATAATAATATTGGGCTGAAAAACAACCCAGTTTGCTGAATCTGTTTCTAGGTCAAGGAGAATAAATTAATTTATTTGAACCTTAATTTGGACCTGTGGTCAGACAAATAGACAGATGGCATGAAGATGAAGAGACTACTAGTGAGAATTTAAAAGTCTCCTAATTAAATTCATTCAAAGGATACAAAGCTCACAGTTATACTCCATTTTACTTTGACCTCCTTGAATGCCAAGTGCTGAAATGAACAAAAGAGATTTCAATAATGTTGCTAGTCAATTTTAGAATTTTTAACATTTTTCACTGATATGACTTGCCTTAAAGAAATAAAAAAAATTATACTGTGAGATTCAAGAGACAATAAAGCAATTCTGCATTATAAGCTAAAACATTGCTTCCTCCTCTAGCATAAATTAGGTCTTCTACTTGTTTCCTCAATTTTGAGATTTGGGAATACATGTACTCAAAATCAAGAGTACTTCAGAATCTTTTCTGAATCAAGTATGTGTTTAAGTACACAATCAAAGATCTAATCAAGTTAGATTACCTTTTATTACAGCACAATGATCTTTTTACTATAAATAGTTATTAGCAATATGGCACATAATGAAGTCTCACTGTACGATACTTACAGGGTAGAAGAAGTCTGAATGGTCTGATGGGGAGAGGAGACACCACAGGAAGATGATACCTTACAAATCCATCAGATTCACCATCCAAATTGATGTCAAATATCACAGATGTCTGCAATAAACAAGCTTCAATTTGAGGTGTGGATATTCAACACTGAATGCAGACATCAAACAAATACAGAGGATAGAACATTTTAACTGATATCTGTTCATATCCTAAATCATTCATAAAATTTCAATCATTTAAAGCTTTAATTGGGAAAAAAAATCTTTTATGATAAAAATTTATATTGTTAATTCAATCTTAATTAAAGAAACATTTTCTTCACCCTAGAGGCTTGATGATGTAAAACAATTAAATTGTTGACAACATTAATGGCAAATCTCCCACTAAGGTCCAGTCTCATAACATCGGTCTTAC